CTTTCCAATCTGAAACCTTCTTGTCTTCACTGACCACTAGTATCACACAATTCCTTGAAGATTGGTCACTCTTATCAAGAAGGGAAAAAAGACATCAAAATAAATTAACAAGGGATTACAAATTTAAAATATTACATCTTCTCCACTGCAATGTTTCCATTTTTGTTGTGTTCTTGCCAAATAAATATTAACTAGTTGTATATTGTGGAAAACAAATCTTAAAATTGAGATTAAACTCATGCATAATTGGTGTTGCATATGTGGAATTTAAATAAAGTTTTATTCGATTTTTTTTGTGTTTTGGAATTTTTAGTGTAGTTTATTTCTTTCATAGTGCAATAACAATAGGGTCTGCATAATTCCTTATTTAAGTGGGAGAGTCGTTCTATGGTTAGGGTGCGATATATGGACAATTGATATGGACCTTTATATTAGCCACATGATTCATCTTAATAGTAACTTCACTAAGGTTAATGAAATGATTTTGTGGCTAATATGAGTCCATATATAGCACCCTCACTATAGAATTTTTGGAAGTTCTCTTTATTTAATTGAGCTTTAGGGTGGGCTTGCACAATTCTTTATTTAAGTGGGATTGAGAGTTCTCTTTTTAAAAGACCAATTTAACATCACCCAATTTTATAGTGCGTGCATCACAAGAATTTTATGTTTTTTTTTCCTTCTTGACACATGATATGAAAGCTTGTCGACAACAGTTGTAGGTTATTTGTAATGCTATCTTTGTTTTCTAAGACTTATGAATGACATTGGTATTGTTTAAATTATAAGGATATTTGGTTGTAATTTTTTTACTAAAGCTTTTAATCTTTCAAAATTGCACCTCCACTAAAAAATTTTTGGATCTGTCATTGCCCAGAGCTGGGTTTTCTGCATAAATATATATGTGTTCATTCTCTCATGCCATTAACACGATATATGTTCTACTAGTTGATTTGATTAAAGAGAAATTTGTAATGAAAATAATAAATATGTTCTAGAAAGTTTGGTTTACAATCGTACACATGACTAGACATGGGTGCTATGCGGTGCAAGTTATGTTCTGGGTGAAATGTTATACCTTATTGACCCATTAATTTGAACTTTCTTTAAAATGAAGAACAAATGAAATCATTCTTTTTGAATATTTTTTTATTCATAAATCAGATGATTCACAACATCTTAAATTGTTATTCAACTCTCTCTCTCCCAAAGTTATGAAATTTTAGAGATAGGATGAGAGAGAAACTTCAGTGCAAGATAGAAGAAATAGTAATGGAGGGATGTAATCCATATGTTTTGATCCAAAAAAGCTTCAAAAAGGCATCATGCATGACACATCACTATATAAGTTTTTGTAATGGATGCCACTATTTGTGTCCATTAATCACACTTTCAAAAGTTTAGGTATTGAAGAGGAGGCTTGGTCCAATGGATGTTTAGACATTCAAAACTAGACATGGGTGCTATGTGGTGCAAGAAGTTATGTTCTAGGTGAAAAGTTATACTTTATTGACCCATTAATTTGAATTTTCTTTAAAACGAAGAACAAATCAAATGGTTCTTTTTTCTTTTCTTTTCTTCGCTCAGAAATTATATGGTTCACAATATCCTAAATTGTTATTCAACTCTCTCTCTCCCCTAAAGTTATGAAATTTTAGAGAGACGAAGAGAGGGAAACTTCACTGCAAGATAGTAAGACTCTAGAAATCTTTTTCATTTTGTTTCTATTGTATAGCAATAATAATATAATATAATGTTGAGACATTCAAAACTCGACATCTTATACTCAACCCAAGTCAGGCAAGTAGGTCTGAAACTTGTTTATTTATTAACAACCAAAAAAGAAAAACTAGTTTAACTTGTCAGTTCTGTCAAAGGGGTAAAATCAAATGGTTCAGGTTTGTACTTTTGACTTGGACTCGTTTTATGCCTGTGGTTTATTTTTAGTGAAAAATAGTTGTTTAAACAATCTAAAATATGAACACAAAAAAATAGTCGTTAACTTGTTTCACCTAATTAATATAAATAGAGATTTAAAATAGAATCCCCGTTTTCTTGTTATTAGACAGAGTTTAGGCTTGGTCAAGCTTGGAGACGTTATCAGATCACTCGAATTAAAAACCAATTTATTTATAGATTATTCGTTTCACGTGGAAAAACCTAGATTTCTTGCCTATAAATATGAACCATTGTTTGCATAAGCCATCCATCCCTACTTCAAACACTTCATTTAAACATCTCTCGCTCTCAAAACACTTTCATTTTCAATCTCTCTTCCAATGGCACCTGCAGTAACTTCATTAACTGAGGCATCCAATGGTCATGAAACTGAAGTTGCAAGCATCAAAAGAGTAGCTGGCTCAGCTGCTTTCAGTTCTGTACCTTCCGAGTACACTTACACCAAAAATCCTAATGAACAAGGAGATGCAAATGACCCCGAACACTCAATCCCCACCATTGATTTTGCTCTTCTCACGTCTGGTTCTCCTGATCAACGGGTAAAAGTGATCGAGGAGCTAGGAAGAGCTTGCGAGGAATGGGGCTTCTTCCAGGTATGTACTTCATTTTGTGTACGTCAATCACAGAGAAATGCTCTTTCATGATGCTTATGTTGCCAGACTGTGAATATCAAGTTGATTTTGTTCGTTATATATGCATTAACGTGTGTGATGAAAATGAAGCCAATCAAACATAAAATGTATTCATGCTGGGTTTAATAGGTGACCAACCACGGTGTACCAGAGAGCTTGATGAAATCAATGATCAACGCGTGTCATAGATTTTTTGATCTACCGGAGGAGGAGAAGGAGGAGTTTCAAACAAAGAAACTGTTGGACGCAATTAGGTGCGGTACCAGTGCCAACGTCGCTATTGAAAAATTTCGTCTATGGAGGGATTTCCTCAAGGTCATAGCCCACCCTGAATTCAACTCACTCTACAAACCTGCTGGATACAGCGAGGTTTCACTGGAGTTCAGCAAAAAAACCCGAGAAGTAGCCACAGAAATATTGAAGGGAATATCAGAGAGCTTAGGGTTGGAGGCTGACTACATAGCAAAGGCCATGAACTGGGACCGTGGCTTACAAATTCTGGCCGCGAATTACTACCCGGCGTGCCCACAGCCCGATAAAGCCATCGGTCTACCTCCTCATACCGATCATGGACTGGTGACCCTCCTCATTCAGAATGAGATGGGTGGCCTTGAAGTCAAGCACAAAGACCAATGGGTGTTGGTGAATGCTGCTCCCGGAGCTTTTGTTGTTAACATTGGTGACCAAATGCAGGTACCAAAATAACACCCTACTTTTTTAAATCTAAAACCCTTCTTATCTAAGAATTCTCTACTTATTTTCATAAATTAATGGTACCGATTATTTATGCGTATGGTTAATTCTTTGTGGCAGATTTTGACAAACGACAAGTACAAGAGTATATGGCATAGGGCTGTTGTGAACAACAAAGCTACAAGGATATCAATAGCTGTGCCCCATGGACCTTCACTAGACACACCAGCTTTACCAATCCCAGAGTTGTTAAAGAGAGAAGGCCAAGCACCAAAATACATTGGAATGACATATGAGAAATTCATGGAGCTTCAAGCAGGCCCTGCTGCCTACGTGAAGCCTTGCTTAGATTACCTCCGAATCTAGGCTATCTCGACGACCCAATTAAGAGTTGTAGCTTCTTTTCTTTCTGGTCTTCAAAAATATATGTTGATTATGCGTTAAGTATATATTCATGCTCTATAGATGAAGCGTCTTCAAGTTTTATCTGTGTTCTTTTCAGATAGGCTTAGAAGTTATTTAATTATGCGTGATTCATTGTGAAATTCTCAGCAAAGAGCAATTCTTGTATAATACAAAATTATCTATTATAATTTTTATATATAAGAAGATGATTTAATAGCATGACTATCTACCTCTGAAGGGAGTCTGATCGAAGAAAAATGAAAGCCTTTCGGTGTCTCTTTTGTCGTCGCTTTTGATCTTACTCATTACTGTTCCCTATAACTGAATGCATATTCTTTCACAGAAATAATAATAATAATAATAATAATAATAATAAAATATTTTAAAAAACCTGATATAGCTGAAGTTCTGTATATCCTAACCAGTGGCGGGA